GTGAGAACCTGTCAATTAAAAATCTTGGTAAATAAGCGAGTCGGATCCCCTCCTGCATAACCAAGCTTGAGCTCATCCTGGCGTAGGCCCAGCGAATCACGAAGCAGAGAAGTGTAGCCAGAACGAGGCACGACGATACCAAGTTCACCTATATGAAGAAGACCAGAAAGACGATACACTTCTTCCAAAGAGGGTGCGAGCTTATGCCAATTAAATTAAAAAAAAGATTGAGATCAGGATCCCAACACTCTACAGCTGCTTCCAGAAGCTCCCAGTCGAGCCTAACTTTACAGAGATCAAAAGCATAAAAGAGTCCTACCTCCTTCAAAGCTTGGATGACCTCATCGGAAATTAATAAAGTAATCCAACGCTGCAGCCCTTCGTGGCAGCCGCTCCTTCTCTGCCGAATTAATGGATTGGCCAAGGTGATGAAAAATTGGAAAATGGGCAAGGCTCCTCGGGCAAGTAGTCCCTTGATCCGGGGGTTGGAAGGGGCTTAGAACAGCTTTCTGAATTGCGAAAGAGTAACCTTTCCACCATCCCCTACTATTCTAGCCTCAGCTTTTGCTTTAGCTCATTCTCTTGTTGATTTATGTAAAAGATTCTACGGATGTCTTTGTTGATGCCCTATCTCTTCCTACTCCAATGAGAAAGAGGGCGGCTTTCCTATCGTTATGGGAATGCTGATCAAAATAAATAGGGTAACTCGGAATCGAATCACCAACCTAATATCCAAACTTCAGGACACTCCAAATAAAAAGGATTTGGTTCGCTCCGCAGTAACGAACTGATCAAGATGTGGTGTCCAGTCTAGTCTACATTGGTACGGGATTCGCGATGCCATCTGTATGGTCTTGTGTTCTTTCCTCACATTGGGAGTGCTACCCTGGCAAACCTATAGATCTATCTCAGCACGTTGCTCACATTGCTTTGTCAAGGAAGCCGGGATCGATGTCGGATGATAAAAAGCGATGGAAATGGAATTGAATCCCAGTGGCTAGCGCTCCAGGCACTTTCTTTGACGCTTGACTTTCTTCGGTCGGATTCGGCCCACTCGTCTATGAGCAAAAAAGAAAGAAAAGGTCGAATAGAGCCGGGACTGTTCTGTAACCATTCCAACTTCTTCTATCCGGTAATTTCTTCCCTCACGAAAGAAAGCTCACCCTCAGGGGTACGCCCAGCGGGGGAGGATTCTATCTCCCTTACAATCAGGGGTTTCGGGTTCGGGTGCTGCATGCCTTCCCGCGGGATTTCCTATTCATTTTTTCATATAGTCATAAGAAGGGATATCTTTCAATCCTGGTCCAGTTGAGGTTGAATTGAATCTGGCCTCTTTCGCCCGGATCGATCTCCTTCGGAAAAACCCCTCTTACCTTCAATCCCCTCTCCTTACTTGTAGATAGATTCTGAGTGGAAGTAGGGTCTATGTTGAAAATGGTTGAGTCCTATTACCTGAAAGGGAAGGATAGTAGTCCCGTATGATCGCCGGTGTCTTGTTCGTTCTAAGGCATCTTCTATGGCACTCCATCGATTGGTCCAGCCTCATTTGCAGCAAGCTTTGGCAGACCCATGATGAACATGGTTTCATTGCACCATATTCAACTTTATTATCCGAACTAGAAAAAGTTCGTTTTCGAGCCCTGTGTATTAAGACCCTGGCCTAGGACCTCGGTAGCAAGCTAAAAAAAGAAGGAAGACAAAAGAAGGGCTTTATCAAAGGCAATGGAGCTGCGTCCCGGCTTAGGAGAGATTGACTAGAGCATTTCTTTCAGTTGCTTAGCGAATCCGGGAAAGCAGTGAGTATCGAATCCATTCTTAGTTTGGCTGTAAGTAGATGTTCTTTGTATTGGATCCAGGGTTGTATAAGAAGAAAACACATGATCGGTCAATCGATATGGGTTACATTGCATGGATAGGGGAAGATAGGAATAGTTTCTTTCTGCCCTTAAAACTAGGGCATGCAGGTTCAAGTCTTGTCTCTGCTGGTCTGTCTTGTGTCAAGTACCGGTAAGGAACTGATCGAAGTCTCGGTGAAATGAATCTATTCTCCAATCTAGTCCAATTTTCAGTCTAAGCTTTTTTTCCCTGGTGTTGCTTTGAACTCTTTTCTCTTGTCCTCTTCCGATCTATCTTATCACCTCATAGAAGCTACCCTAGAAACTACGATTATAGACGTCTTTTAGGGCCTTGTAGTAAGAAGGTCCTTGAACCTTCACTAGGCAATTCTCTTCTCTTTCCTTGCTCGCAACTATGGCTGGCAGGGCCTATCGATGCTTCATTCACTCCTTCGTAAGAGAAAGAGCCTCCCGGGGCAAGCTCCTTAATCAATCTCTCCCGCCATTAGTGCAAGAATCCGTCTGTACGCCGCTTTTATTCTTCATGCTTGGTGACAGAAGTGGCTATGGCCGATCCCTCTTACATACTCTCGGAAAGTGATCTTTGCTAGGAGCGTAAGTAGCTTGACCAATAGGGAAGGACTTCCTTATACGATAATCGAAAGTGGTACCTAATCTAGTCTTTGACTTCAACCAATGCTAAGAGCTTACTTTGGGAAGCTTCGTCCGACGAGAGGGAAGGCTGAAGTTGTCATTCATCTTTCTGAAGACCAAGCCAATCGAAAAGAAACTGGTCACTTTTTTTTCATCGAGATGGGTATTGCTTGATCGATCGACTGGGGCTTAGGCTGCTTTTCCTGCGAAAGTCCTTATTCCTCAAGAAATGGACTCTCAATTAGGACTCACAGCTCGCAGCAGACTTGTTTCCACGCCGCTAACTCTTAATACAAAGAAGACGTCCTAATTCGATAGATAGATGACAATACGATCTGTATCGAACCTCCTTTCTTCCTATCTACTAGAATACCGGATTCCCATGCTTTTGGGAGGGCACCTCTTCATATACCTGACTTACCTACACCAGTTAGAACCTGCCAAAGGCAGTTGCTATTGACCGCTTACCAAGCCCTGCAAAGACTGAGACGGAGGGAGCTCATTACTAATCCTTAACTTTTCGAGAAATCCTTCATCAGTGGTTGTGAATGACCGATTTTTCTCAATCTTTTCGACCTCTTGGTTCCGTAGGAGCAAGTCAGAAAGATTGATAAATAGAACCATCTGATTTGATTCGTTCTCAATAGCCATGAGATGATCATCTTAGGGTGATCTTTTTGTCGACGGATGCTCGGCTATCGATCGACCCGACAGTGCTTCCTTGGTCCATTCCATTTAGTAGATCCTCCCCCCAAAAAATCTTCTATTTAGCAGCAAAGGGAGATAGCATTGAAACATGCTATTACCTTTGTATAGCTCTAACCCGGCCCGGCTAGGATGAATAACGAGGCTGTTCAGGAACTATTAGCTCTACTCGAACTATGCCCTCTCTTGCCTTTGGTTTATGCTTTCTAGTTCAGAGATCAATATCTTTATGATAAAGATATTTCGTAAGGCTAGGTTCAATAGAGACAATCCTTTTCTTCATAGTAGCTGTCCAACGGGATCTTTCAATCAAGCAAGTAAGCCAAGCAAGATTGTATCAGGAGTAGTAGGAGTGGGAGATTTCAAGGTAGCTCCTGACTCTCGGGGGAGGGAATCTCGTATTATAGAGAGATCTTACTACACCCGTAAGCCAGCTAAGAAGTCATGCTTTGAGTCCGTTAGTGACAGTAGGAATGCCATTCAGCCAGTAGGAGTAGGTCTTCCAAGCGAAGGAGTAGCAATCCGGTTCAAAGCCAGTAGCTATCCAGTCGAATGCGAGCCAGGCACAAAAGCAAGACTAGTCCTCATGATGAAAGGCCAGGGAGTGAGGGCGTGGGTTCTAGCGAGGGATACTACTTCTTCGGCTAGAAGGGACGGATCTTTCTTTTCCTCATCAAGCATTCCGTAACTTGAGTTCTCAGTACCTTCTTACTCTTCCTCTG